TGGAGGGATCTGATGGAGGGATGCGATGGAGGGATGCGATGGAGGGATGCGATGGAGGGATGAGATGGAGGGATGAGATGGAGGGATGAGAGTAAGAGGTGGAGGGATGAGATGGAGAGGTGGAGGGAACTGATGGAGAGGTGGAGGGATCTGATGGAGGGATGCGATGGAGGGATGCGATGGAGGGATGCGATGGAGGGATGCGATGGAGGGATGCGATGGAGGGATGCGATGGAGGGATGCGATGGAGGGATGCGATGGAGGGATGCGATGGAGGGATGCGATGGAGGGATGCGATGGAGGGATGCGATGGAGGGATGCGATGGAGGGATGCGATGGAGGGATGCGATGGAGGGATGCGATGGAGGGATGCGATGGAGGGATGCGATGGAGGGATGCGATGGAGGGATGCGATGGAGGGATGCGATGGAGGGATGCGATGGAGGGATGCGATGGAGGGATGCGATGGAGGGATGCGATGGAGGGATGCGATGGAGGGATGCGATGGAGGGATGCGATGGAGGGATGCGATGGAGGGATGCGATGGAGGGATGCGATGGAGGGATGCGATGGAGGGATGCGATGGAGGGATGCGATGGAGGGATGCGATGGAGGGATGCGATGGAGGGATGCGATGGAGGGATGCGATGGAGGGATGCGATGGAGGGATGCGATGGAGGGATGCGATGGAGGGATGCGATGGAGGGATGCGATGGAGGGATGCGATGGAGGGATGCGATGGAGGGATGCGATGGAGGGATGCGATGGAGGGATGCGATGGAGGGATGCGATGGAGGGATGCGATGGAGGGATGCGATGGAGGGATGCGATGGAGGGATGCGATGGAGGGATGCGATGGAGGGATGCGATGGAGGGATGCGATGGAGGGATGCGATGGAGGGATGCGATGGAGGGATGCGATGGAGGGATGCGATGGAGGGATGCGATGGAGGGATGCGATGGAGGGATGCGATGGAGGGATGCGATGGAGGGATGCGATGGAGGGATGCGATGGAGGGATGCGATGGAGGGATGCGATGGAGGGATGCGATGGAGGGATGCGATGGAGGGATGCGATGGAGGGATGCGATGGAGGGATGCGATGGAGGGATGCGATGGAGGGATGCGATGGAGGGATGCGATGGAGGGATGCGATGGAGGGATGCGATGGAGGGATGCGATGGAGGGATGCGATGGAGGGATGCGATGGAGGGATGCGATGGAGGGATGCGATGGAGGGATGCGATGGAGGGATGCGATGGAGGGATGCGATGGAGGGATGCGATGGAGGGATGCGATGGAGGGATGCGATGGAGGGATGCGATGGAGGGATGCGATGGAGGGATGCGATGGAGGGATGCGATGGAGGGATGCGATGGAGGGATGCGATGGAGGGATGCGATGGAGGGATGCGATGGAGGGATGCGATGGAGGGATGCGATGGAGGGATGCGATGGAGGGATGCGATGGAGGGATGCGATGGAGGGATGCGATGGAGGGATGCGATGGAGGGATGCGATGGAGGGATGCGATGGAGGGATGCGATGGAGGGATGCGATGGAGGGATGCGATGGAGGGATGCGATGGAGGGATGCGATGGAGGGATGCGATGGAGGGATGCGATGGAGGGATGCGATGGAGGGATGCGATGGAGGGATGCGATGGAGGGATGCGATGGAGGGATGCGATGGAGGGATGCGATGGAGGGATGCGATGGAGGGATGCGATGGAGGGATGCGATGGAGGGATGCGATGGAGGGATGCGATGGAGGGATGCGATGGAGGGATGCGATGGAGGGATGCGATGGAGGGATGCGATGGAGGGATGCGATGGAGGGATGCGATGGAGGGATGCGATGGAGGGATGCGATGGAGGGATGAGATGGAGGGATGAGATGGAGGGATGAGAGTAAGAGGTGGAGGGATGAGAGGAAGATGAGATGGAGAGGCGGAGGGAGGAGATGGAGAGGCGGAGGGACGAGATGGAGAGGCGGAGGGAGGAGATGGAGAGGCGGAGGGACGAGATGGAGGGGCGGAGGGAGGAGATGGAGAGGTGGAGGGATTGTACAGTGAGATGGATGAGCATGAGAGCCAGGGAACAAGTATTTGCATAGGTGAGCAATGGAAGCTGCCATATTCCCTGGGCACAGGTACTCTTCTATAGATGTGCTCTCCTGCCTAGATGCCAGTGTTCTGTCTCCAGGTCTGTCTGCCCTCTGCTGCCTGTGGCCAGGTTTACAGACATATAATGAATAGGTCGTTGTGCTGATAGCATCTTATGGAGGGGGAATAAAATGCAGAGAATGCAGAGCAACACTAATGCTGCCTGTGATCTATTCCAGGCATCCAGTCACCGGACCAGATGGCCCTCCTAGCAGAACACGATCACAATTACCCCGTCATAGTTGAAGGTCCATTTCCTTTATGGCTGAAGAAGATATGTGTGAATTATTACGTCTTGCGTGCTGAGCCTAACGCCAATAAACTGAAGGTGAGTGTTTCCTTCCATTAATGTGAGACTTAGGAACCTTGTGGCACTCTAGCTGTTGCAGAACTACAGGTCACAGCATGCTGATTTTAAAGTTCCCTTATTCAGGGAACAGAACTGGTACATTGAATTGGAATATTGAGTCAAATCTGTACATTTTCTTAGCTCACACTACTGGCCTCTAACACAGGGGTAGGCAACCTCGGCACTCCAGCTGTTGTGGAACTACAAGTCCCATGAGCCACTGCAAGACTGACAGCTACAGGCATGACTTGCAGAGACAAGGGCATGGTGGGATTTGTAGTTTCGGTACAGCTGGTGCGCAGAGGTTGCCTACCCCTGCTGTAGTGAGGGAAATATGTAGACCGCCAGTGCTGAACTCTCCTGAAAATGAATGACCCGGAACTAGCATGCAGATAAGCAGCACAGAGTTTACTTGCTGCGTGCTGTTCAGGGTCAGTGCTCGAGTCGGAGACTGTGCGGCTCCAGTGGTTCTCTTTAGGACTCGGCAATGGAAGACTCTGTGTTCCTGTCACTATGGGTTTGATGTAACTTGTACTCATTGCCATGCTTCCTGTACCACGTCTCTACTGAATGACGTGTGCGGGTTTATAGATTCTCCCTCTGCCGTGTGTGCGCAGTTCAGTCACCCAGCTATTAACTTGCAAAGTGATTGGTGATCTCGTTTTCACTTCATTGTCTGTCTTCTGTTTTCAGAAAACATTGGACCCTGAGAGGAGTTTATATTACCCCATTCACTTGGACCTGGATCTGGAGCGAGATCTCGGTGACGATTACACCTTCGATGTGGATGAAGGTAAGGCATCTGCTGAGTTGAATGACATTTTAAAGTACGATGTTCCTATATTTTGTCTTGCATGCAGCTGCTGTCACCTGATCATTAACTTGAATAGGTGACAGCTGCCGCTTGTAAATGACAGATTAGGGATTCCTGCTGCAGGAAAACGCAAGTTCCTGATCCAGGAATCCCTAATGCACCTAAGGATACAGATGTGAATGGAGCCTAATACAATCCGCCCCCCACCCTCCCATACGCATTAAAAAAAATACACTATCCACACACATAAAAAAAAAATACTACCCCTGCATCATTAAAAAATACATCCCCCACATATAAAATAAAAAACAACCCCCCCCCCCACATAGAAAATAAAATGCAGAGCCCCCTCTCCTGCTTACCTTTTTGCAGGGAGGAGGCAAAGAGGCACGATCCCTGGTGATTAGTAAGGTCTGCTGCAGACCTTACGAATCCATCCTTTCAGCCCCTCCCCCTTTATGTCAGACCCCACTTTTCATATTGGAATCCCCCCTCTTAAAACCAGAGTTCCCCCTTCAGAGTCCTACCATCCCAAAATTTTGAGGAAGCCAGAAGGCACTCGGGTGTGCCGCAGCACCCTGGTTGAGAAAGGCTGCTCTAGGCAATTCAGGCAGCTCATGGCTGGTGGGAGGGGCCAGCAGGGTGTTGTACATAGCTTCCTGAAAACATCACAGCACCCTGCCCCAGTACTCCTCTGAAGAGCTTTCAGCACTGATGTAAGCAGTGGGCCGGCTCTTGGGAGGATTTATGCAAATATTAAAATGCCTTGATGGGTGGGTGTCAGACTGGAGGAGTGCAGTAGAAAGGCATCATGGCACACTCACAAACCAGCATGTAAAACAACTTGTCTCACCAAGGACAATGACAGAGGTTTGGATACACGTCTTCTGCAAAGGATGTGTAAGCCGCACTGCCGCGCCAAGGCACCTCCTATAGTGCGGTCCTAACTCTAAACTATGAGAGTCTCCATCTTGGAGCACATGGGGCAGAAGATATCAAATTGGGTGCAGGCCTGTCAGGAGGACGCCCCACCTCCTTAAAGGTACAGAGACACACAAGGGATCCCGCACATCCCATTGGCAGCTGAGAAACCCCATGCGTCGCTGCACCAAATCGGTAAAGCAAAACAAACGACAAACGCACTCAAAGCCCATTTCGTGTGCACCTTACTGTATAACTGGTAACAAATTGTTGAGTGCGTTTGTCGTTTGTTTTGCTAGACTGGAGGAGTGGGCGCTCCTAGGCAGGGTGTATGTGCATACGGGTTAGCCTAGGTAACATTGTGAGAGGCTCGTAGTGTGCAGTGAAATCAGAGGAAGCCATTTCAGTCCAGGAGAGGAGCCGGTACAATAGTAGAAGTCTGAAGGTCGGATTATACATAGGCAGTATGTAAAGTAATGAGGATTTACTTATGATGTTCTATGTTCTATGTTGGCGCTGTATGAATGAATGTAACTTGGCTCCATTATTCTGCAGTGGAGGAAGGCTCAGTCTACGGTATGTGCATGGCGGGAGATGAAAAGTTGCTGACCAGCTGGATTCAGGGGCTGCAAGAGACGAATCCCATCCTCGGGGAGGTGCCCGTCCTTTTCCGGCTGACCACCGGCCCGCAGCAGGAGCGTCTGCCAGTGAAACAAAAGGACAGTTCATCCGTGGAGAGCGATGAGGACAGCACGCAGGAGGAGAGGCTCAGAATGGAGCAGTAAGACATCTCTATGAGGGCAGAGTATGAACCCGGAGTCCTGGAGCCAGCTACACCATAGGCACAGCCAGACCAGGACCAGGACCGAACCTCCCCATCGGCAGATCCAGTACATGTGAGAAGCCAGGGGGACAGGCACTGATATGGGTTCTTAATATGTCCATAATCCATAACAGTCCTCCCACGTCTTCCAGGCCAAGCTGTCTCCTTGCATATTGCACCAGATACATCGGCTTCCATAGACCCTGGAAATACTTTTAGTTAATTTTACAAAATAGTGGAAAGAGAGAGTTTAAAGAAGAGAAGAAGAGCTCTGGGCAATTTTGTTATTAACCCTTGCAATGGAACCCCCTCCCCCCAGCACTGCAAGGGTTAACTGTTCATTTCAGTCCAGGGCTGAAAATAACAAATATATACTCACCCGGTCCTCCGAGCCAGCTTGATATTAGACCAGTCCCTGGAGCGTCTCTTCCCCTCCGCTGCAGCGGTCTAAGGTCCCTTTAAATGGCTGTAAATGTGAACTTGAGGGTTCATTCCTCATACTGAGCAGGTAAGGCCTGGCAGTCAAAGGGAAGCCCCTCTCCCATCACACTGGAGGGGATCGCTGTGGGTCACATTGAGATCTGTGCCGAGGTGATATCACATTCATCAGCCCAACCATAAAATCTCGCTATGTGGACTTCTTCACGTGCACCTGGGAAGATTGGTACAATCTGATAATAAAGATTGTGATTGGATGGCGGCAGGCGCTCTGTCCAAGCGGTATAAGTACATCCAGCTTTTCTTTAACCCTTTCGCTGCCAAGCCCTCCGGAACATTTTTCAAATCAGCTGGCCAAGCCATTTTTGAATTTTCTGCAATTTTTTCCTATTGATTTGATTTTCAACTGCTGCGTTGCTAGCGTTTGTAAAAGACCCCCCAAACCATATATTTTCTGAAAGCGCAGGCCCGGTAGAATAAAAAGATGGTGATACTAAATTTGTAGGCCCTGCGATAATTGCGCAAATGTTTCTCAAATTAATATTAAACCGATAAAAATACACAATTCAATTGTTAAAACACACCAAAATCAGTATCCGTGCACAAAAAAAAATATTTTTTGACTAAATCTAAAAGATAAAACTGTATTGAGTTAATAAATAACAAATATTAGCAAATTTGTAATTGCGCCTTTTT